GTCTTTAATTCTATATGCATATAGCTTTCTGCTGACTAGAGTATAAACTTCCATGAGGAATGGATTATTGTCCCCTTTGCTGCTGTATTCCCAGTGTCCAGAATGCTGACTGTACTCGGTAGGAAGTAAATACACACTTATAAAAATAATTGGTTTTGTTAATTATTTTTCTAACATACTCTCCTTCTATCCTCCTCTCCTTTCCCTAATCCCCTGAAATGCCAACTTTTAGTTTCCCTACTTGGTGCTTATATATCACTCTCACTCTTAGAATAGATGGTGTCTCTCCATAAAATATTTTTATAAAACTTGCAATTCAAGTACATTAATACATATTTAACTACTCCTGCTGTGAGTTAACTATTAGTGTCATTTGTTGAAAGTTCTATTAGTAATTACTTTGTCCTCTGTGACTAACATAGTAGCTACAGTATTTGCTGTATGGGTACTTGTTGTGAGCATGAAAGCATACAGCACACAGAGTACCAAAGAAAAAAACAAGCGAATCTTTCTTCTTTTGTTCAAGTTTTAAATTTTGCCTAGCAGAATGTCAAGTACTTGATACATATTTGTTTATTAATTTATTAAGTGATTTGAAGATTTTTCAAGGGTAGTTATCTATTTAAATGTAAGAAGTTTGAGATATCATTTCATTTTGCAAAACTAAATGCTTTAGCATATCCTTCACCAGGAAACAAGTAGAAAGTGACTAGCTGCCTCAAGTACAACAATAACCGTGACAGTCCAAAGTTTAGTTCTAGAGAAAAAATGGTCAAGGTAACCTTGAAATAATGAGATAGAGCCATATTTTCAACCAGCTGTGAAGAGAGAGGGACATCTCCATGACCAAAACAATTCCCTCCAGTTGTCACCTTGGAACACTAGCATCTGAACATCTATCCTTAACATCACATATGAAAATTAAAATCTAATAAAGCCGGCCTTTGGAGGTATAAAGTGAATGCTTTTCAAAGTAGGTCATGGGTTATGCTGAGATTTAAAATATGGGAGAAGATATACACAGATATATGTGCATATATATTATAGTCATATATGCCTATAAATTTTAAATAAAATTATTCAGTGGAATTTTAAAATTATAAAGCTTTGTTGTACTGTAGTTTCCCTTCAAATGATTTATTTACTTGTATTCTGCTTTTAAATATTTTATGAATAAATGAATGTGATTTTTACCAAATGGTTTCAGTAACAATTGACACTACTTTAATATGAATATGGCATCTTTAATAACCACACAAGCTCCCCTTATTTATAAAACAGTAAAACATGGAATTCCTCAATTCCTCCATTACTGACCTCTGTCATAAAGCTTTGTATTAAAATCTATCTTCCAGTAGAAGACTTTTCATGCTGTTTAACTTCTTCATTGTAGTCTTATTCAGAAAATTTCAAAGTATACGGATCCTGTAATGATTTAAATAAACCATTTAACCATGTGTTGGCCAGCTCATAAACCATTTACATAATTGAATTTTCCAATTTACACTGCTCTTCTTGCTTTTTATTTCAATGTTTAACATGTGCAACCGAGGGGAAAAAACAAATGGCCTATGATACATGAATACAAAAAATACGTGGCTTAATAAAAAGTATTTTTAATATTTTAGCTTTCTGAACTGAGAAAATTTATAGGCACTTCTGCTTGGTATACACATTGCAGTTTTATTAACTTGCCTATAATATATTATACACTCATATTTAGTTGAACACTGTTTAACATCCTTTATTAAGGAATACAGCTGTCCTTTAATAGCTGTATTTTGTTGGACAGGATTTATTTTTTCGAATGCTGTCAGTTTTATAATAGTTCTTGTAGTGTGTCATTTAGAAGCATCTATTCAACATAATGACAAATTATAAAGAAGGGATGAGAATAAATGACCATAATAAGAGAAAGTAGATGAAGCAAATGTTCCTTTTTAATTCTCTTAATCATAGTTAAAGCTTTGTTTCTGTATGTTTTTTTCACTCTGTCTTGAAGTCCTACAATGAATTAATAAGGGAACCTATAATTATTTAATTTTCCTTTTGCCATGACAGACTTCAAAAGAGGACAAAAAAATCAAGATTGTGGTTTTGGATAATACTAGACTTCTTAGTCTGAGAAATGGGTTGTTTCATTGCGTTTTTAAATTATTCTTATACCTGCCTGATTGTATTGTCCTTTCTATGCTTGATAAAATCAGTGTTTTTCACCTAATAATTAATTAAGATGGCTTGTAGTAGGTAATATATAATAAACTTGAACCCAATAGTCAATAGAGACAGGCAAATGATCAGTGTGAGGACACAAAGTAAATTTTACCAAGAGTTGCAGGAACGATAGATGAAAGCCAAGCAGTGTGCGTCTGTCAACTTTCACAAATGTGATTTTTACTGTGGGGAGTGTTATTTTAAGGCAAAGTAGAACCTCATTGGGGACAAAATTACACAGAAATGTTGGAAGCAATGCCAACATTCTGCTTTCTATAAGAAAATGTTTTTATTCAAATTACTGAAGAGAAAACCAATTCACACTTTGACATTGGAATCACTTGAGGCTCCAGGTTAAAAGGACAGTCTCCATTAATGTTAGCACTTTCTAGGCCTCATTACTAATGTTTAATTCTTACTTAAAATTATGATATTATCTTATTACCTGGAATTGTCATTTGTAAATGATAGTAGTGCTAAAGTGTCAAAAATTCATAATTTTAGAGAGTACAGCTCACAGAAATATTCACTGTTTCATGAAAGGAAGGAAACTCAAGTCCTTTAATTAATAACCTACTCTGGAAAACCATCTTTCTGGAAAAGAACCCAAAAGACTTAAGGATAGACAATAATAGCCTGACATCCCCTTTTATTTCAAAAGGAATCATTTGCTATTAATAATGGTAAGCAGGGTTTGAGGACATTTTATGGGTGCATCATTCCTTTAACTTTTCAGTGGATTTTATGTGATAGAAGAGAGGATGATGGGGTGAATCAAGGTTGCAAACATATATATTACATTCTGAAAGGTGAAGAATTTATGATGCTTCATCAGACAAGTCATTTTATTTTGTTTTTGAGTCATAGTAAACTGTTGCAATCTGAGGAATTATTGCAAAGGTATCATCTGCCACCTTAGGTTTTGTGAAACTATTTTGCCTATCAATGTTAATATCACTTTATACTATCACATCATTCAAGGAAAATTTAGATATAAATAGTTAAAATATTTTGTCTACAAAATTATAAAAATTATGTTTAAATTTTTCATTACTTGACATCACCGCTATTTGCTGACGATTATTACACTTACAAAGAACATATTTTTTACTCCCTCTACTCCAATCCCACCTTCTTCTGTAATCCCTCAGTTGTATTCAAAATTTCTACATTAGGAACATAACAGTAACAAAGAATTAGAATATATAAATTGCAGGATATGGAATTATAGGTATTACAATATTTACATAGCATTCTTCAAATACAGGCAAAGCCTCTGAACAAGCAAGAAATGAGAGATGATTTCAATAAGATTTTATTAGTTGTAATATTACAAAAAACTTTTATCAATTTACAGATATTATAAGCAAATTTATCATGTGAGGTATTTATTCACTGAAAACAATGTGTTGAAGAGATTGTTTACTTTGGGGGAAAAGACTAAGAGTAAGATCACTCTCATTGAGTTGTCACCACAGAATAATAGATAATGACAAAAACATACTTTGTAATACTTTCATCAAATATGTTACAGCTAGAGTTAAGTGCATTGAAAAAGAAATACAATGGAAATCTAATACAGAAAGTAAGTGGGGAGGATACCAATGTGTCTGTAGAACTGTGTTTTTAAAGTCCTTTTCAATGAAGCATTTGGCTGAAATCTGAATGATTAAAATAGGATAAACCAGTGAACACTAAAGAAAGCATTCTAGATAGACAGAACTGTAAATAGCAGAATTTTTGGTGCCACGTTTGTTCTGCATCGAGAGACTCCAAGTTCTTATCATCACTTTTCAGTCTCTCACTCCTATGAAATCTTTAGCATGACCCCAAACACTGAGTCCTTGGGCCTTGTAGAGAATGCTGAATTTCTATCATATTTATAGTGCACTAAAAATATAAGCTCTTATAGTGCTTAGGTAAATTACGCATTAGAACTCAGCTAGCTTCAAAATTAAAAAAGATAAAAATACAAATGTCCAAATATTCAGAATTATTTTGCCTCAAAATACTCCAGCAATGAACAGACAATAATCTGCTTCCTTTGATTTCAATCCCATTTTTATTTAATATTAGACCTTGATAATACAAACCAAAAGTAGTAAAATAAAATCCTAGGGGGGTGTATTTTTACTTTTTTAAAATGTGAATACATATCATGAGGAATATGTGAATACCTGTTTATAGTACTTAGCATCATGACATTTAAATCAGGAAATCCAACACCCAAGAGAGTCCTATTATCATTAAAGCTCAAGGTTCAACACATGCTCTTCATCAATAATATGCCCTGTAGATTCACAAATTCTCCCAAAAAAGGTGGTAAAGAAATTCATATTTATCAATGAATATAATATTTATAATAGTGGGACAGGGGCAGGAGGGGACTCCTGTAGGAATGCCCTTCTTGCAATCTGTTAAGGCTTCCTGATTCCCACTTACTAAATGTCATTGCAATTACATGGTCTTTGTGACAAATGGAAAAATAAAATGTTTCCACACATTTCTAAATGTCCATTGAACTAGAGGATCATATCTTAAACTATGTGCCTAGTAATACCATCCTATGTGGTATGCATTTGTGTTACAATACAAAAATGTGTTCCTAGGTCAAGCATAATCTTTGGCATATAATGTGTCAAAGAATAAACCAGTATTCTTTTTAGAAGATTCCAGAAAAAAAAATCAAAAGAATAAAAGTGAGGCAAAGTGTTTATAAAATTTCCTACGTTGTTGGGCCAAATTTTTTTAGGAATTACTTATGAGAAATAAAGTAATCTTTAAAGTTCACACAACATTGTTTTATTGATCATATAGTCAAAATTTTTGTTTATTCTGTTATGGGAGATTCTTTTCTAAAAGACTTAAAAGCCAACAGAAAAGAAAGTTCTTATGAAAAATATTTAATATGCAGAAATAATCAAATAATCTAATGATAATATGTTTCTTACATTCAGAAAAGTCACATAGCATGTTCTATGTTGAGCATTTTTCTTACATATTCTCTTTGGATATGTATAACAACCCTACAAGTAAACTACTTGTCTTTAACCCTCAGTGAACAAATGGAGACAGATAATTTTCTGTGTTAGGGTATCCACAGTTACTGAGAATGCTCAAACCAGATGGAAGTCTCTTTTTTTGTTCACTTCATAGGAAAATGTGGGTGGATGTTCAAAGGTCAGTAGATAGCTCAGATTCATAAAATCTTCTAGGGAATTCATTTCCTTCAATATAATTTCTGAACGATGCATCTCAAATCTCCTATTGTTGTTCTCACTTGTGTTAAAGCTAGCTCTTCAATGCCCTATCTGTATTCCAGCCAAAGGAAATTGAAAGTAACAAGGAGGTGGCCAGCTTTTAGAGAAAGTAAGTCCCAAACTTGTTCCCTGCCAAAACTTGGTAAGGGAGGGAAGACTTTCTATTAATAGAAGGAAGAAAAGGAGAATGGATATTGGCAGGGAATTTTCAGTCCCTGCCAAAAAAGAGAAAGAAAATGTGACAGTATCAAATACATATTTGTTTTTTGTCCAGTTGCTCTCTCTCAGCTCCTAGAAAGATTATAATTTCCTAAGTGATTAGAGCAAGAAGAGAAAAAGTTTGGTCTCTGCCATAATCTTTGTGACAGAGCTCCTAATGCTCTTTTAGATAGGGATGTTAGGAGAATCTTAGTCTTTGTTTGGTCTTTGACCGTGGTTTCTTATATAGATTTTCTAAATTTTCTGAATTTTGTGGGCATAGGGGTGTTTTTTGTTCCAATGAGGTGATACTTGTTGGGCCTCTGGGTTGGGTCTGGTCACCAAAAAGACCAAGTCAAGATTATAAATGTGGTTCTTCCAGCTCTACCCCCAATCTCCAGAGAGAGGAGGGGGCCAGCTGTGGAGTCACTAATGAATCATGCCCATGTTATGAAGGCCTCATACAAATCCCTGAATGATGCATCTTAGAGAATTTCTGAGATATGAAATAAATCCACGTACCAGGGTGCCACACCCCAATTCCCTGGGGGACACTTTCAGATCTCATCCTATGTATCCCATTAGCGTTACTTTATCACTTTTTAATAAACTGATAAATTTAACTGAAGTGCTTCCCTCAGTTCTGTGACCTGCTCTTGAAAATTAATCTAACCTGAGGAGGGAATCTCCGAACCCAATTTATAACTCATCAGTCAGAAGAAGCTCAGGTTACAACTGTGGCTTGCAATTCATTTCTGATCCCTCAACCTATAGGATCCAGCACTATCTCCAGGTACATAGTTTCAGAATTGAGTTGAATTAGTGGATCCAGCTGGTGTCCACTGAAGAATTGTTTGGTCTGTGTAGAAATACCTTCATCCATCTCCAGTTGAAAGTGTTTCCTGTCAACTGTATAAGAGGGGGAAAAAAAGAAAACTTTTTTATCCTCCATCTCTTTTAGAGGGAGAGGGAGAAAGAGAAACAAAGACAGAAAGAAAAATAAAAGTTCTGTTTGCACTGAAACACAGTCTCTCAGTATACAAACCAAATTGTATAATTGCATTAATAATTACATAAACACTTTTAAAAACTGAGTTTGTGCTACACACTGTTTAAATACTTTTCATACATACGCTAACTTAGGTATTCTCATAACCTATGTCGTGGGTTCCTGTTTCCATCACCAACCTACAAATGACAGAATTGAAACAGGAATTCAGTGACTTTCTTAGTAGAGGCACACTCTAGTAAGTTATGGACCCATAATTCTAAAACAGGCTCTACAGCTCTGTCTGTCACCCATGCTTTTTAGTATGTTGCTCTGCTATTTCTCCATGTCCATTTTTCCAGAAATAGATAGATGTGCTCTTCACTTAATCAAATCATTTTTAAGTGCTTGACTATACTGTGATACAAACTAAGAGTGGCTTTGTTAGAAAAGGTGGAGAAATTAGGACATAAGTTTTTGATAAATATCTTATTTTTTATCTCATTGATGGATCCATTGCATTATACCATATTAAATCCAGTTATCTACATGGTGTGATATTCAGCATCATTGGGTTTCAGAATTCAATGTGATTTGTCTCAACATAGAAAATCATCATTCACTGCATACTTTTATGGGATACTCTGCTTATCTACAGTATAAATACATCTATATCCCTAGGTTTTTCATTTTCTTCAAAGATATACTCTTTTGGACTCTAAGTGGAACAAATGTACTTAATAGTACATTAATAGTTTGATATATCTTCAAAAGCCCTAAATATTTGATACTGTGCCAGTAAACCTATTGCGATTCTATCTTGGTGATTACTAATGAACCTAAATTATGCAGTTCTGGAACTGTTCTGCTATTATTCCCAAGTGGAAGGCATCTATGAATACAACAGCATTGCTCTGAACAGGAACCATAGTGTTCAAAGGATAGTAATATTGATGTCTGCATCACTTAGGAATTTTAATGGGGCTCTATATCTCTCATACTAAAAATCCAACAGGAAGAACTTAAACACATGAAAAGGGAAAGGACATAATCTTAAAGAATTTCAACACTTTTTTTGATGTATAAAGTGGAAAGTAGAAAATATGAACCAATAACTTGCTTCAGTATTAACTGCCATGTACCATGTCTGTGTTTCTCGGCCTGGTTAAACACATGGCTAATATGTGCACATACTCACTCTACTAATTTTCTCAAAGACCCTATCCACAAGAAACTGTTTAATGTGAAGTCTATAGATTCAGAAAAATATGACTTTGCTGATTATTTCTAATTTCAATTTCTCCACATGCATGCCCTATCTAGACCCTGCATTAGTTGGTCATTTAGTTGGTCAAATACAGGTCATTTCACACATACTACTAACAAAATCAGGTAAAGTTGTTTTTCATTCATAAATAAGTCCCCAAAAATAAAATGTAAGATTTTGATTTTTAAGCCCAGAGGTTATTTTTTAAAGTTTTATTAAGGCATTATAAGTTGTCCAGAACCTACTGCACAAGGGAGAAACTGTCAGCGTATAGCTTTTATTTCTAGATCTCTTTTTTCCAGTAATTTGCTTTCACAGTAACCTAAATTATTATGTATTAAAATGCTGAATTTGGTTTGTATTCAGCACTACTTGAGAATAACATTTCTTTTATAAATGTGAAGCAAAACTACAACCTTTAACTCTTAAACAGGTACAAACATTTTCTCTTGTTTAAGTGAGATACTGCCCAAAGCAACAGTTTTAAATAGATAAATGTTCTAAATATGAATACTTTTTTTCTCATACTTCAAAGAAGCTTCTAGCCACAGGAAATATGCAAGAGGGTTTTTATATTTCTTGAATATTTGCTGTTTTTTCTAAAGTTTGACCTAAAGTGCATGAGCAAATTAAAGTCACACAAATTTCAGTGGTTACCTTTTTGCTTTCTTTAAATTTAATTTTATCAGATCCTGTCCCTGTAAAACTTATAAACTCTAGTCTCTGCTCTCCTGTCCTTTCTGCACATCCTCTTTTTCCCCTTTCCTGATCCCAATCAATATTCATTGACCCACATTCCTCTTAGGAACCAAATACCCTTTTAGAATGGTGTTTTAGTGTGTTCTTCAAGAATATCACTTACAACCAAGGTTAACCTAGTGTCAGACCTATTTTCAGTTCAGTATAATTGGGGTTGTTTGTGTCTTTGAAATATTCTAAAATCTTAAGACAAAGGTATTATTGTGAAGCTATGATTTTTCAAAGTTGGGATTAAAAGAATGGGAAAATGTGGTTAAAGTCCACTAAAGATTCCGAACTAGAATATTTAGTCTCTCAAGAAACTAAACAATTGGAAGGAATTCACTCACTAGGTTAAGAATTCATTAATAAAGATGACACATGTAACCATTAATTATGGAGGTTATTTATTTTTACCAGATGGAACTCATTTGAATCTGCATCAGACAAACCTTGACAAGTCTATGTTGTGTGGACCCTGATCAACAGTAATTAGCAAACAAGCAGAGATGCATTTCACTGGACAACTAACCATCCTTTGAATGGGCCTGTTAAGCAATGTTCTAGAATGAGATTGGACACTCAGGCATCCTTTAGTCTTATTTCTTTGTTTTATGTACTTTTTCTAACATTATAATTCCTTCCTTTAATGAAAATGGTCCACTATGATGAGAATGAAGCTTTAAAGCATAACTGACAATAAGCTTTTTCAATATGTATTTGTCTTCACCAGAGAAAAAACTTCTAGGTTATACTTAGTTTCTTAAGAAGTGAGCTTTAACAATACATTTAAAAAAAAGAGATATTGACTTTAGGGACTTCTAAAATGATTATGATTTCATATAATGCTATTTTTTTTTACCAGAGGTCACTTTTATAGCATTTAGTTAGACATATTTAAAATCTCTGTCAGACATTTTTTATGTAAAAATTGACACATTGGAAACAATATAATTTAAAAATGTGTCTTATTATTTGTTCATTAAATAAAATCATCCAGTTGTTAAGTATGTTTGTTTCTTCAGTCAAACAACTATTTACTTAATACATACTGTATGCAAGGTTGTAAGGAAAGGATGAAAATATGAACAAATCCTCTTTGTACAATATTGCTATCTAGGTGATGCCTGAAAACATTTATTATATATTATTCAGTTCCTTAGCTTACTTTCTGTGCATAGTAGACTTGGGAAGCTGGTAAGAGGTACCAGACTAGAGTACAGTAAGGTGAGGTCTCCTTATAACTAGCTGGGACAGTTCTAATGTGAGACATGAATCCATCCTGTGAGATTCAACAGGTTGAGATGAAGCAACAGGTGAATATGGGTTGTCAGGGAGATCAAGAGTAAAGTGTGCAAAACTAATGGGAAATTTCCAAGAAATTATATTTGGCTTCAGGATATGATACATTTGAAAAGAAGACTAAGATGAATTATGTATGAAAAGCTAAGATGGAGCAGTTTTCGCTTCATATTAAAAGTTCTGTGTTTCCATAAAAAAAAATGAGACTGATGTGTTTAATCATTTGGAGAGAATAATGTAGACATTTTATCAGTTCTCTATAAAGTATAAATGAACCAGACTGTCTCAATTCTTTCTTAAAAATTCTATTATTCAGGTGTTTGCATTCACAAACCACACTCAAATCTCATATAAGATGCTCTATTATTAAACTATTACAAAATATAGCATTAATAGTTCCTCACATTCTATCAAGAACAATGGCATTCTAGATAATCAAGTGTGAAAGTTAATCATATAGGTACTTTGAATCTACTGGGGATTTTATAATAAACAATACAACATATCAAACAATATCTACTTAAAGGCAATCACGTTGGTCACATTGGAATGAATTTTAATAAAGAAGAAAGTGGGTGAAGCAAAATGTTTTAGAAGTAAAGTAATAAAAAAGCAGCAATTCTTTTCAATTTTAGGAGAACTTGACATAGAAAAAAATGAAAACATGAAGTTGATGTTAAATTACAATTCTGTTCCATTATGAATTGTTCACTTATTCCACATCAAAGAAGCTACAATTTACTTACTATATAACTCTTTGCATTTTTTGCTAAAGTTTGCACTATTTTTTCCACTATAGATTGACTTTGTTCTTAATCTACCGCTGTGTACCCACAAGCAGCCATTATTTAAATTATTAATTTAAAAGGTATTAAAATAGAATACTGATGAAGAGGCAAATACTCAAATTTAAAATGAACACAGCAGACAAGATACCCTTCCTGTGTAATAAATCTGAAGATGTAGAGTAGTGAAATGTTTTTAGAGAGCAGCATTCTCATTTTCCCATGTGACAAGTAGTGAAATCTACATAACACATATTCTGAACTTATTAAATATTTAGGAGCAATAATGAGTGACCAGTCACTGTAGAAATAATCTATTACTTTAATTTTATTTATATTCAAGTAACAGGCAAACTTTTGTTTATGAGAACATTTAAGTGAAATAATGCACATTAGACATTCATTGAGAGGATTATTAAAAATACTACACAATTTACCTATTTAAATACACTTATCCCTATGTATGGCAGTTAATATGAGGTTTAGGGTTAATAAATTATTTGCCTGAAGTTCTACCGGTATATAAGAAGCTATGTCAACTTTAGATAATTAAAATGTGATCTAAGAATTGTGGGTGTGGCTCAGTGGTAGAGGACATGCTTAGCATGCAAAAGGCCCTGGGTTTAATCCCCAGCAATAGGAGGAAAAATAGGAAGGACAGCAGAATAAAATAGACACTCGTATTGCTATATGTATATACGTGACTGTATGACCAATGTGATTCTGCAACCTGTACACTCAGAATAATGAGAAATTATACCCCATTTGATTCAAATGTAAAAACAAATACAATAGAGAAAATTTAAAAATAAAATTTAGGCATTATATT